TATTTTATATTTATATCAATTACTTGATAAAATGATGCATCTGTAATTGTGTGCTAAAATACCCTCAGACTATTCTGTGTAGTTGGGAACAAAGTGTCTGACATGGCACAGAAAAAATGGTTTGGGATTAATCACAGTCAGTACCATTGGTGAAACACAACCAAGTCATTCAGAAGGCATCTGTGGAAAAATAGTGGGTTTGAAATGAACACAGTGGCTCTGGAAGAACAGTGGGTTTAAAATGAGTCACAGAATGAACTAGGTTGGAAAAGACCTTTGAGATCACTGAGTCCAACCTATGCCCTGACACCACCTTGTCACCCAGACCATGGCACTGAGTGCCACTTCCAGGCTTTACCTAAACAGCCCCAGGGATGGTGACTGCACCAGCTCCCTGGGCAGCCCTTTGCAATGCCCAGTCACTCTTTCCTGAGGAGCTTTTTCCTCAGGCCCAGCCCAAACCTCCCCAGGTGCAGCTCAGGGCTGTGCCCAGGGTGCAGAGCCATTCCCAGCAGTGTCAGGGAGCTGTGGAAGCAGCCAGAGCTGATCTGAGCTGACCCCTGCAGGAGCTTCCGAGGGATCACCAACGAGGACTCCATCATGAGGGAGATCAACCTGCTGGCAGCCATCCTGGAGAGCCCCGAGCTGTGCCTGCGGGACACGTTCATCATCGCCGGCTACACCAACCCCGCGGCCGCCAACCGCCACAACGAGATCTGGTTCCTGCAGCGGCCCTGAGCTCCTCCTGCTGCTGCTGCTGCTGCCCTCGGAGCCTCCTCCCCTCACAGGTGACCCCAGGTGTGCCCTGTCACACGTCAGCACTGGGCATCTCAGCTGGGTTAGGGGCAGCCAGCCCAGCTCAGCTCCCCAGGCACAGATCCCTACGGCAACTCTCACATTAATTTCATGGAGGGTTTTAGCACTTGGAAAGTTAGTTCACCTTTTCTATCTTATTGACCAGGTAAGGGAGGCAGAAACCTCTTCCCTTCCACATCCCCAGCCTGCCTGTGGCTTGGGATGGTCCCTGGGGACATCCTGGAGCCCTGGCCTGCTCCGGTGCTGCACAAAGACCCCGCTGGGGCTCTCAGTGTGACACACCAAACCCACCTCACACAGGCACTGCAAGAATGTCCAGGTCTCAGTTCCTCAGGAGAACCACCAGGTTTAGCCCACTGGGATAGAGCATGGAGTAGGAACAGGCCAATGCTGACAGCTGTGGCACAGAGATCCCCAAAGCTTACCTCAGAAAGCTCCCAACCAAAGCACCGAGTCTGCAGAGACACCAAAACTCCTACTGCTCACTCAAGTGTTGACAGCAAAGTTACAGGTTATCCTCATCAAAGTTACAGGTTATCCTCATCAAAGTTACAGGTTATCCTCATCAAAGTTACAGGTTATCCTCACCACACCCCCCAGGAACCCCATGGCTGGCTCTGGCACTCCTAAGGAGACACTGGTGATTTGGAACTGCAGTTTTCTGAGCAGTTTATCCTCACAGCTTTGCTGGGTGTTAAAGCACTGCAGCTGGAGTAAACTGTTCAGCACTTCTGGCTGTCAAATGACACAAATACCCACAGAGAACATCTCAGCTGGGAGTGAGCTGGGGCAGGCAGCTCCGCTGAGAGCAGGGCTGCTGCTCCAGGCAGCCCAGCTGGGTTTGAGCATCCCCAGGGACAGGGAGCCCCCAGCCCCTCTGGGCCCTGTCCCAGTGTCTGACCACCCTCACTGTGAGAGTTTTTTCTCCCTAATATCAATTTGTTGTTTGTTTTGCCCCCAGCTGGCAGCCTGGCTCTGTGCAGAGGCTGAGCTCCCACACTGCAGAGCCCCCAGAAGGACTGGGAGCAGCACTGCCACTGTTCCCCACAGCCCAGGAGCACCTACTGCACTTTAGAGTCAGGGCAGCAAACAATCCTGCTCTCCAAACTCCCTCCCTAATGCCTCCCCTTACTGATGTGATGGTAGAGTTTATTCTTATAGAAGTAAATATTTTTATATCAAATTCACTGAGTACATCACCAGCATTATTCATTGGTTACAGCATTTAGGGTTCCAGCAGAGCCTCGGTGCTCTCTAATTCCCACACACAGAGCAGCAAGCAGAGCCAGGGGCTGCTAACTCACAGCAGGGTGAGAAAACAACCCCAAACACGGATTTGTGGAGGACTTCTGAAAGAGCCCCAAGGCTCCTGGTCCCACAGGGAGGGAGGGCTCTGTGCTCAGCCCAAAACCTCCCCCTGAGCAGCAGGATCACAGTGGCCCTGGTTTAAGCAGGACCACGGTGCCCTCTGGTGCCTGCTGGGCACAGAGATTCCCTGGGAAACAGCAAGGAGAGGGGGAAAGGAAACAGAAAATAAAGAGACACAAAAGCCTTAGTTTTAGCACAAAAAACCCAAGAGTTTTTATGGAGAGCGGAGAAAAAGCCCAAACAAACTAAAATGCAATACAGTGTCCCAGCCCTGAGAGAAGGAAAATTAAAAATGCCAGCCAGTATTAAACTAGAGGCTCTTAATTAAAGAAAAACAGTGAAAGCATTTTTAAAATTGAGTTGACTAGAGGGCCCAGGGAGGCATTAAATAAAAGGTTTTTTTCTCTTATCCTCCCCCAGATTTTTGTAAGAGCACATAGAAGTAATTTTCACCTCTGACAAGATTTTATGGCAAATTAAAGAAATTTCTGCCATCTGAATTCTTTTGCCAGTGAGGGAAATTCTCCTTATGCTTTGGCACAACAGATGTTGGATAGCTCCTGGAAGCAGTGAATTCCTCTCTCTCACCACAGAGCACCAGATTTGTACATAATTCACATTTTAAGCCTCTGCTGTGTCTGATGTCCCTGCCAGCCCCTCCCATGGCTCAGCTCCCCGTGGGTGATGTTCTAGAAACATCCCTGAAGCACAAGCAGATCTGTCTGAATGTGCTGACATCCCACCTGCAGCCCAGCTCTCCCTGCTCTTTATGGCAAACTGTGAATCCCCAGGTAGTATTTATTTATTTTCACTCCTGTTAGATGGCTTCTGCTGCTGAGAAAAGACAAAAACCCAAAAAAACCCAAACAAAACCCGAACTTCAGCTCCAGTTTGGCGATACACTTTATGGCTTGGTACCAACAGCTGCCACTGGCCCTTGGGAGCACAGGGACCAACAGCTCCAGTGTTTAGCTGACACAAAATCCAGTTTATTCAGTTGTTACACCACTGAATGCCAAGCAAACATCACTGCCACTCACACCTGACACACCATGACAGGCATGACTGCCTAGAACAGGTATTCTGTTGTCCACCCGTGGCTCTGCTTTAGAGCCACTCGTGGATTTTCAGTTTTAATGTGAGGTTATTAGCTTTCCACTCATGAAAGGAGATAACACATCAGCATTCACCCCTATTTTTGGAAGATTAAATGATGTAGCCTTAACAGATAAGTGTTGTCCTGCATACTGTGTATTTTCCAAACCAGAGTTAGTGCCTAAAAAGTTGATTCCAGCTATTGTGATACTCAGGGCCTTGCTTATTGTATGTAAAGACATCTCCACAGAGTTGCTCTGGCATTGTTGTGCTGTGCTGTCTGACACTGTCCTTTGCTCACACTGAAATGTTGTCTTGTTTACTGTTTGGCACAATTAAAGAATGGTTTTACTGTGCACAGGACACCTTGCTCTCGTTCTTGCAGCACACACAGCTGCTCTTGCTCTCCTGCCTTGGGACACTGCTCTGATTTTACGAAAGCCAAATGTGAAATGGGCCCCTCAGGCCCCAGAGGCTGAGGGCCAGGAGCCCTTTCTTTCCCCACGTGCTGAGGGCTCCAGGAGGGAGGCTGGGCCTTGGCACACTCTGCAAACCCTCCCTGCAGCCCTGGCTGTCACTAGAAGCTGTGTTCTCCAGGAAAGCAGCGGCACCTGAAATGCAAATCCGCAGCAGAGGAAGGAAACAGAAAGCACTGCAGGGCTGGAGGAGCCAAACCAAGGTGCTCACCACAGCTTGAACCCCAAAACAAAGCCCTGCCCTAACAGAGCCCTCAGAGGCACCTGCAGCAATGCAAAACTGCTGTGAAGTTTCTCTCTAGCACTGGAAGTTCCTCATTTAAACACTCTCAGGTGCCTGGGTTGCAAACATCTGATGCACTCACAAGTTTGCCTTCCAGGGCTCTTCACACAGCTACACCAAAATCCATCAATTTTAACCAAATTCCCAGAATTACCAGGTTGGGAGAGACCTTCAGGATCATCGAGTCCAACCCCAACAGCTCAGGCTTTGTTAAACACACGTGCTCTGAGGCCAAGACTCTGATACATAACTCTATCCTAACCTTTTATGCCTCTAAACACAAAAAGAGCAGATATTTTACACTTTCCAGACTGGTGTTTTATGGAACATCATTTACCAACAAGTATCCTACTGGGAAGGCACAGATCACTAAGTTACAACTGACAGACAAACAGCTCTGGTCCCCAAAAATCTCTTTATATTTGGGCAGTAAAGATTGGTAAAAAAGAAAAAGATGTCATCATCATAATAGAAATAGGCCAATAAAAATTAATACGCCAAATAAACCAATTAAAAATAAAAAAACTCCAGGAGAACTAATTACACTTACAGATGACTTAAAGCTTATTCTAAAGAATATTATTTTTACTCAGACAAAATGTTCCAGCCCACACACAAATTGCTCAAGGCATTCCCAACATCTTAATACTGAGTTCAGCCAAAACCAGAAACCTCCGTTTAGGTCTGGTGTCAATTTTGCAAAGGCTTCTGAAAGAGGATAAGGAAAATTCAATTCCAAGTTTTCCACCTGAGCTTTCCAAGTCACTGCAAGGTAAAAGGTGCCCCTGGTGCACAATGAAACTGTAGCTGCTGGAGTTGAACCCATGGTGCTTAATTTACCCTATAATCAAGGTTAATTACACAAGAAAGTGTTGTCTTTATAAACACTGCAAGTCTAGACAGAGATGATAAAACATTTCCTGTCACTGGCCACTGACCAAAAAGGAAATGCAGCCACTCACCTTGATGTAAGTGTTCTGAAATTCTACCAGTTCTTCCCCAAGTGGAACTACAATTTTTTCCACTTGTCTCTCGTGAGAATAAGGCTGAATTTCTGGAGAATCTTCAGCACACACCTCTATCCGAGCAATCAGCAAGTTGGAAATAACTTGTTGCACAGCCTGGTAAAGCCATAAAAACAAAGTAACTATTTCTGTATATTAGCAAGGGTTACATAAAATCGCAAAGAAAAGACACCCACTACCTACAATGAAAAAGAAAAGGTCAGGAAATAGAATTCCAGACTTGGGGATTGGAAAGGAACCTTAAATCCCATTCCACCCCTGCCATGGCAGGGACACCTCCCACTGTCCCAGGGTGCCCCAATGTCCAGCCTGGCCTTGAGCACTCCAGGGATCCAGGGGCAGCCCCAGCTGCTCTGGGGATTCGGTGCCAGGGCCTGCCCACCCTCACAAATCAATAAAATGTGGTTTACAGCATGAGAAACTCCAAACCTCATCAAATAATGGACTGTAAATTGATTCAGTCTCGGTGTGCAATTCCTCAGGGGCCTGCAGAGGCTTCAGGCAAAGAACAGAGCTCCCACCCAGCCCTGACTGTTTAAGGCACAGCAGGAGCTGTGGCTCACCTTGGTGTCGCTGCCTGGGGTGGCACTCAGCGCCAGGACCCGGAACTGGTTGGTGTATTTGCTCAGCTCCCTCACAACCTGAGGGCAGGAAAGCTTCATTAATGCCCTGAGAGGAGATCATTTCCTTGTGCAAACTACAGCAGTGAAAATACCCACTGAGTGGGAAAGGCTTAACAAAACACTCCAAAAATACTGAATCCCAGAATGGTTTGGGTTAAAGGGACCTTAAAGATCATCCTGTTCCATCCCTTGTCACCCACAGGGACACCTCCCACTGTCCCAGGGTGTCCCAATGTCCAACCTGGCCTTGGGCACTGCCAGGGATCCAGGAGCATCCTGGAAATGTACCAAGAATAACCTGGAAAAATTATGAAATGATTTCTCACTTGATTTAACAAAAGTATTGACAGCCCACTAATTCAGGTGAGCTGCCAAAAAGTGAGTCTGAAGATAAACTGTAAAAAATGTAATTCATGGATAATTAATCCTATGTAATCTGAAATCCACAAATATCCAGTAAATTTCTCCAGTGTACCAAAGTAACTTTTAGGTCACCTATTGCTCTCAGGAGATTAACCCTTGATAATGCAACAAACTCTTGGCAAATCAATAGAAACAACACATTTAAAAAAAAATCCTGAACTGAATAAAGAACCTTATAAAAACACTGTTTTTTTAACATTGCCCAGCCAAAACTGTCTTTAAACCAAAATTACAATTTAATGGAGGCACTGAAAAACATACTTTACAGGTATTATTAATAAACAAGGCAATAATAACACACAGGAATGTTGGAGGGCTTTCAAACAAAGTTAAGGACCTCAAGGACAGCAATCTCCCCCCAGCAATGACACTGATGCTTTATGGAGATCCTGTAAACAATTTTGGGGAAGGCTTTTGTGACTGGGAGAGAAGAGTGGGGTGGCTCCAGCCCTACCTGGCAGTAGGCATGATTGCCAAGGGCTTTGTGGGCTTCATCAATAACCAGACATTTGATCTCCACAGCAGGACAGGTCCCACGAGAGAGATCATTGACCATTATCTGAGGGGTGAGGAAAAAGACTCTCTTGGTGTTCCACAGCTCCCGGCGGCCCAGAGCCTGGGTTCCTCCTGGAAATCAAAGAAACAACATCAGGGAACTCAGAACAAGGTATCTGACAGTGATCTGACAGTGACAGGGCTGGCAGACACATAAAATCATGGGATGCTTTGGGTTGGAAAGGGACTTTAAATCCCCACCCAGTGCCACCCCTGCCATGGCAGGGACACCTCCCACTGTCCCAGGGTGCCCCAATGTCCAACCTGGCCTTGGGCACTGCCAGGGATCCAGGGGCAGCCACAGCTGCCCTGGGCACCTGTGCCAGGGCCTGCCCACCCTCACTGAACACAGAATATTGACAGAATATTCACAGAATCACTGGGTTGGAAGAAACCTTCAGGATCATGGAGTCCAATCCATCTCCAACAGCTCAGCTCAGCCCTGGCACCCAGGGCCACATCCAGGCTTTGTTAAACACACCCAGGGATGGGGACTGCACCGCCTCCCTGCACAGCTCTTTCCTAACATCCAACCTATATTCCCCTTGACGCAATACAATGACTAGGAAGAGTTTTTTGCATTAAAAAATTAAATCCAGAACCATGGAAATCAAGGCTGGGGAGCTCAAGATGCCTTTTAGATGCCCACTGCCCTAAACATCATTTAAAAGACCTCTGGGAAAGGTCTGGGTCTAAAAACAGGTTATGGGTTCAGTCATTGAGGCTGTTACCACAGCGAGGAATAAACTGCAGCTCAGGGGGCTGCAAAAACTTCATAAAAAGGTGAATGGAAAGTGACAATGAAAGTGACAATGAAAGTGACAATGAAAGTGACAATGAAAGTGACAATGAAAGAGACAAGGGGATGAGAAGGAGGGGCAGAAACAGCTCCAGTGTGGGTTTAAAGAGCCATTATTCCTTGGCTTCAGCATCCCACAGAGCGCTCTGCGTGTGCAGAGACGTGCCCGCTGTGACCCACAGGGCTGCACCGCAGCGCTTCACCCTTTATACAGGCGACCTGTGCTTTTAACTACGGCCAAAGCAGCACTCAGCCCTTCCAACACCTCTCACGTTTTATTTTTCCCCTCACACTGTGTGTTTCCACGCCGGGCAGCCCGCGGGCAGCGGCCGTACCTGTCATCTCCGCCATGTCCCGGCACGGGATGCCCATGACGCGGCCGCACGCCTCCATCTGCTGAGCCACCAGCGGCTTGGTGGGGGCCAGGAACAGCACCTTGCCCGAGGGGAACCAGCGGTAGAAGTTGTACATGACCACGGCGGCCACGAAGGTCTTGCCCAGCCCGGTGGGCAGGCACACCAGCGTGTTGGCCAGCAGCGCGGCGCCGGCCATGCGCTCCTGGTAGGGGCGCACGGGCAAGTTGGTGGGGTAGATCCAGATGGAGCCCGCGGCCTCGCTGAAGCCCTGCGGCGGGCCGGGGTCGGCCGCGGCCGCGGCTGCCAGCAGCAGCTCGTCATCGCTGTCCGCGGTCGGCTCCCTCCGCTCCGCTCTGCCCTCAGGCGCCCGCCACACCTGCAGCAAAGTGCGCTGCCGGCCGCCGCTCATCCTGCCGCCATCTTAGCCTGCCTCCACCGCCGCCGCTTGAAACCGCCGCCGAGAGGGACGGAGCCGCCTCCCGGCCCTCCTCCCTTCTCCCCCGGCCCTCCCCTCGCCCTGAGGTGCCCGCCAAGCCCGGGGCAGGTCCCGCTGCTGCCGCCGCTGCCCTCGCTCAGGGCGTGCTCCAACAGCCCCGAGGCGGCGCCATTTTGTCCCTCCCTCGGCGCCCCTCCCCGAATTCCCGCTGGGCGCTCGGCCGGGGCTGAAGGGGACGGTCGGGAAGCGCCTCCGGAGCCTCCCCTTCTCCCCCAGCCCGCTCCCCGGCCCGCCCCTCTCCCTGCCGGGCGGATCCCAGCCCTCCTCCCCGGAGGAGGAGCAGAAGGGAGGCGGGTGGGAAGATGGCGGCGGCCGCGGGCCCGACGCAGCCCTGGAGCGCCGAGGAGCTGCGGAGCGAGGCGCTGGCTAAGAAGGAGATCATCAAATTCCTGCAGGAGAACGCGGCGCAGGCGGTAATGGCGGGGGATAATCCATAATTTGGAGCCATGCGGGGGAGGTTTGGGGTGTTTTGGTTGTTTTATTCTCCTCACGCTTGGCGCGCGTGTCCCGCAGTTCCTGGCGGAGCACAAGCTGCTGGGGCAGGTGAAGAACGTGGCCAAGACGGCGAACAAGGAGCAGCTGATCGCGGCTTACACGCAGCTCTTCCACACGCAGGTGAGGCCGCGGGGATGGAGCTGGGCTCGGGCAGGGCCGGGGCCGGGGCTGTGCGTGCGGCTCCTCATCCTTCCCCCCGCAGCGCTTCAAGGGCACCGACGGCGCCGAGAAGGCGGCGGAGAAGGCGAAGCCGGCCAAGGCGGAGGAGGCCAAGGGGAAGGCGGTGAAGGCTGAGGAGGCTGTGGAGGAGGTTGGTGTGATGCCCTCGACTCGCGTTTTTCACCTGGAAAATCAAATTATGCGGGTGGCTTGTCTCGGGGTGAGGGTTAGGGAGACATCAGGGAAAGGTTCCACTATTCCAGAGGGTGCTGGCACTGCCCGGGCTGCCCAGGGAATGGGCACGGCCCCGAGGCTGCCAGAGCTCCAGGTGAACTGCCAGGGATGCCCAGGGTGGGATTGTTGGGGGTCTGGGCCGGGCCAGGATGGTCCTTGTGGGTCCCTTCCAGCTCAGGAGGTTGTCTGATCCTAAGTCTTCAAAAACCTGCTTACAGTAAGAAATCTGATGTTTATATCCAGCCTTAACCTTAAGCTGCATTTTCCACAAATGTTGCAGCCCTGCAGTCGCATGAACACACCATTCATTAAGTGTTTTTTTGGTGCCTTAAACTCAGTGGTTGTTCAGTCTTGGATATCTGAGATTGTTTAACCCACCAGTCATAACTCTCTTTTTATAACCTTAGGGGCCACCAAAGTACACAAAATCCATTTTAAAGAAGGGAGATAAAACCAACTTCCCGAAGAAGGGAGACACTGTCCACTGCTGGTACACGGGAAAGCTGCAGGATGGGACAGTCTTCGATACCAATATTCAATCAAGTAAGGTTATGGGTACACAGATGTGCAGATAAACTCCTGGGGTTGGTTGCAAATGCTCCTAGAGGGAATTACCCGGGCTCCTCCAGCAGATGAGGGCAGGGGTTTGCCCTGGGAGGTGTTTGTGGGAGCATTCCTGACAAACAGCTTCATCATGGTGCTGCTGAGCGGCCCTGCAGCTCCCGGATCCCGATTTTCCATGAGCTAGCAAGGGCAGTATTTTAGGGCTGGCTGGTGTCAAGTGACACGGCTGCATCCTGCCAGCCCTGGGAATGTGGAATGCAGGGAGTCAGTGCCCCGGGGAGATGGTGCCTAGAGAACTCCTGCACCAGCAGTGTCCTCAGTTTCTCTAAATAAACACACCTTGGGGCCACTCTGTAGTAAATCTTTACATATGGAGGCACTGGAATGAGAGGGATGTGAACACTCTGGTGTGCAGTTTTGTGACACATCAAAGGGGTTAGGGGTGTGAAATGGTGCAGTACTGGAAGGGCTTTCCCAGCAGTGCTGTCCCACGCTCAGGAACAGTATTCCAGAGTCACTGTAATTCCTCATACTTGTATGTTCCCTGTTGGCTTTTCTTGGCTCCTTAATATGTCCACAACTTGTACAGGCAACTTGAGTAATTCAGGAATGAGCTTTTGGGGTTTGAAAGATGCTTTGGTGCAGTTTCAACATGTAATGATGTTTTTAGTGCACAGCTTTAATATTTCCCTTGAAAATCTGATATTGGGCTAAAAATAATATCAGAAAGCAGCTATTTATATAAAGCATTATTGCAATGGCAGTTTTCTACAGAGGTGTGCAGTGTGCTGGTGTGATGTTGAGGCAAATGAACACAAAACTCTTTTCCAGGTTCAAAGAAGAAAAAAGCAGCCAAGCCCTTGAGTTTCAAAGTTGGTGTAGGAAAAGTGATCCGAGGTGTAAGTAAAGCACTCAGGGCTCCCTGCAGTCCCTGGGCAGTTCCAGTCTGTGCTTTGGGGTGCAGTTTGTGGGCTCTCTTTCTCCTGGGGGCAGATTGAGGGATTGCACTGGAGGATGGAACATTGATCCTCAGCCATTCCCTCATCAGGCAGAGCTTGGAACACGGGCTCTGTTCCCTGGGGTCAGCCCAGGCAGTGCCTCACAGCAGCTGAGACCGATGGCATGCCAGGCTCCATCCCTCCATCCCTGTGTGCATTCCTGGGCTGGACTCTGTGCCAGGCCTGAGCCCCCTTTCCATGGGGAAACTCCTGCTGTGCCCAGCCTGGGGCCGTTCCCTCTGCTCCTGTCCCTGTTCCCTGGAGCAGAGCCCGACCCCCCGGCTGTGCCCTCCTGGCAGGAGCTGTGCAGAGCCACAAGGGCCCCTGAGCCCCCTTTGCTGCAGGTGTCCTGGTGTGGGATGTGGCTGGAGCTGGGCAGGGGCTGTGTCCATGGGCAGGGCTGCAGGAGCAGCAGTGGCCCACGTTTCTCCCTGGGTTTATCCCGGGTTTGTGGGTGCCCCAGGTTTATCCCTGGGTTTGTGGGTGCCCCAGGTTTCTCCCTGTGTTTATCCCGGGCTTGTGGGTGCCCCAGGTTTCTCCCGGGTTTGTGGGTGCCCCAGGTTTATCCCTGGGTTTATCCCGGGTTTGTGGGTGCCCCAGGTTTATCCCTGTGTTTATCCCGGGTTTGTGGGTGCCCCAGGTTTCTCCCTGTGTTTATCCCGGGTTTGTGGGTGCCAGAGCCTTCCCTCAGTGGGCACAGCACCAATCCCTGGGCACTCCCTGGAAGGGCATCCTGAGGCTGGCAATGCTGATGGGATGCGTTCCCATCGCTCCCCGGTGCCATCCCAGCGCGGGGGCACAGGTTGCTCTGTGGGGCTGTGTGGGGACAGGGAACACCCCCAGAGGGCTGCACAGGGCTGGGGAGGTGCCTGGGGCTCTGTGGGCGTTCCTGGGGCCCAGGAAAAGCTGGGAGGTGCCGTGGCCGCTGTCCCATCCCTGGCTGCAGCTGCTCTGCCGTTGCAGTGGGACGAGGCCCTGCTGACCATGAGCAAAGGAGAGAAGGCGCAGCTGGAGATCGAGCCCGAGTGGGGCTATGGCAAGAAGGGGCAGCCCGATGCCAAGTATCCTTCCATGGCCTGTGACTGCCCAGGGAGCCTGGCAGTGCTGGGGACAAGGAGGGACAGAGCTCTATGGGATGCAGGAGAGGGGTTCACTTGTTACAGCAGGCTCAGGATATTCCCACTCGGAGTTCTGGGCACTTCCTGGGGGAGCAATTGCCCTTTTCTGGAGAATAACCCATGCAGGGGGAGCCTGCTGCTGTTTTCCACCTGCATTTTCATCCCAGCTGCTTGCAAATGCTTCTGCCTGATGGGGATCCTCACCAGTGCAGGGAAACAGGAGCAGGGAGTTACTCTTGGTTCTGGGATACAGCTGCAGTAGGGGGTGCAGGAGTGATCCCACAGTGTTTCATGCAGCCCTGTTTATTTTTCCCAGCCCTCCCGGAGGAGGAGAAGGGATTGTTCTGCTGTGCTGGAATGCTGTGATCTGAAGGGCTGCCTGCACTCAGTGGGACAGTGTGAGCTCCCCAGGCCCTGCAGACAAGGCTGGGCAGCTCAGGGCAGGGCAGGGAGCAGCAGCTGTGCCCATGGTGTGTCCGTGGGCTGTCCCTGGCTCCCGACAGCTCCTGCTGGGCAGCAGCTGTGGCTGGATTGGGGTGTCCCACCAGGTCAGGGCCATGCCAGGGCCAGGGGAGAGGCTGGCGAGCAGCTGGGCACTCCCTGCCCAGGGAGGGGTCACTGCAGGGGCCCTTTGCTTTTTGTTTCCTTAACGTTTGCCAACAGGATCCCACCAAATGCAAAACTCTTCTTTGAAGTGGAGCTGGTGGATATTGAGTGAAGAATTCCCTGTGCTGCTGGGAATCCATTTCTGCCACAGAGAGCTTCCTGCTGGCCTTGCTGTAACTCCTGGCTCCGGTTACAGCGGTGCCTTTGTGGGGATGAGTGCTGAGTGTTGTCCCTGCCCCGCTGCTGTAGTGACAGCCCCACCACTAAAGCAGAGTTTGTACTTGCCAGTGCCTCCTCCCTTCTTTGTGTCTGTGCTCCCCCAGCTCCTCTGGGGCACTGCAGAGCCCCCGGGAGCAGCAGGGCCCACACCCAGCCAGGGCTCCTTCCCTCCTGTGCAGCCCAGGCCCACGGCATTCCCATCCCACAGCGTTCCCACTCCACAATCTCACAGCATTCCCATCCCACAACAATCCCACTCCACAATCTCACAGCATTCCCATCCCAGAGCGTTCCTGCCCCCCCAGTCCCACGGCATTCCCATCCCACAATCCCACTCCACAGTCCCATAGTATTCCTGCTCTACAACCCCACAGCATTCCCATCCCACAATCTCACAGCATTCCTGCTTCACAATCCCATGGCCCCACACCCAAGCCAGGGCTCCTTTGCCCCTGTGGAGCCCAACCCCACAGCATTCCCATCCCACAGTCCCACAGCATTCCTGCCCCACAATCCCACAGCGTTCCCACTCCATTTATTTGGCAGCAGCTCTGCTGGCAGAGATCTGGGTGTTCCCAGGTGTCCCTGTGCCACAGCCCCTCCTGTGAACACCACCAGAGCTCAACTCAGGCATTCTGTTCTCTCTCCTGGCTGGAATGAGGCAGTCCAAGAAAGCTCAGAGCACTACTGAATTCCTCGCTTTTATTACAAAAATGGGAATGATCACTTTGATCAAAATGAAAAAAGTTTTGCTCACACCGTGTACATGAAAAACTCTAAATACAAAACTCATCCCGAACACAGTTTGTGCTTTTAAAAAAGAATGAAGGTGGTTTAATCCCTGCCCCTCCCACACTACAGAAGCCGTGTGGCAGCTCTGCCAGGGCCCCAATCCCAGCACAGCCCGGCCCTGGCACAGCTCCCTGGCATTGGGCTGGCAGCGGGACAAGCCTTGGCTCCAGCCCTGGGCCAGGGCAGGCAGCACAGCAGCTCTGGGGCAAAACCAACCCAAACCCCCACAGCTTCACCCACTCAGCTATGGAATCATGAGACCGACGAGAATTCTTCTGACACTCCATAAATTAGTGCAGGGAATTAAAAAAATCATTTATGGTAAATGAGAATTGTACAGAGACCATTTATCAGTTACCAGCACACGAATCTTGCTTCACACATACCCCGTGAGCAGCAGCTCGGTTCACATGCAGAGGACCAAAAGCAGGTGGCACAACAGTTCCTTCACAACCCAAAATTAGAAAAATATAATTTTTTTTTATTCCATCTTTGTTGAAACTGCAGCACAGTGAACTCCACTCCCTCGGGGATCAGGTTGTGTGGTAATACTGTCCGTAATTCCAGGCGTTCTGGTAGTTGTACTGGAACCAAACACAGCAGCAGCATCAGGCACCAGTCAGTCCCTGCTGGAGCCCCTGGGGCAGCACAGCCCCCCCAGCCCCTCTGTGCCAGCACAGCACCCCGGGAATGCAGGGCAGCAGTGCCATTCCCTATGGAATGCAGGACAGTGGTGCCATTCCCTGTGGAACAGCACCCTGGGAATGCAGGGCAGCAGTGCCATTCCCTGTGGAATGCAGGGCAGCAGTGCCATTCCCTAAGGAACAGCACCCTGGGAATGCAGGGCAGCAGTGCCTTTCCCTGTGGAACAGCACCCTGGGAATGCAGGGCAGCGGTGTCATTCCCTGTGGAACAGCACCCTGGGAATGCAGGGTATCAGTGCCATTCCCTGTGGAATGCAGGACAGTGGTGCCATTCCCTGTGGAACAGCACCCTGGGAATGCAGGGTATCAGTGCCATTCCCTATGGAATGCAGGGCAGCAGTGCCATTCCCTATGGAATGCAGGGTATCAGTGCCATTCCCTATGGAATNCAGTGCCATTCCCTATGGAATGCAGGGTATCAGTGCCATTCCCTATGGAATGCAGGGTATCAGTGCCTTTCCCTGTGGAACAGCCCCCTGGGAATGCAGGGTATCAGTGCCATTCCCCGTGGAACAGCACCCTGGGAATGCAGGGAAGGCAGGCAGGGGTGGAGGTCCCCCAGGGTGCTGCCACAGGACACATCCCCAGCACAGCAGAATCAAAACATCCGGAGCTGGGAGGGACCCACAGGGATCAGCCAGTGCAGCCCCATCCCTGCACACACCCCAGCATCCCAGCCTGGCAGCCCTGTGCTCCTGGGGCTCTGGCAGCCTCGGGGCAGGGCCCATTCCCTGGGGAGCTGTTCCAGTGCTTGTTCCACCCTCTGGGGGAGAGCCCTTCCCTGATCTGCAGCCTGAGTCCCCCTGGCCCAGCCTCAAGGCTGCCGTTCCTGCAGTGCTGTGTGTGAAGCTCAGGGCACTTTGCCCGGCCCAGCACTGGACACTCTGTGCTGGATGAGACTGACTTGGGAAGGAATTCCTGATCTGGCTGGGGACAATCCCAAAGCAGGGCTACCCAGGGCTTGTGCCCCAGCTGTACCACTGCTCCCCCAGCTCTGGGGGCTCGCCACAGTCTGAACAATGCTTTTCATAAAACCACTTCAAAACTTCCATGGATTTGAAAAACACATGGCTGCGCCAGTAGGGACATGGGTCAGTGGGGGCCTTGTCAGTGCTGTACTGGATGGTCTTAGAGGGCTTTTCCAACCCCAACAATTCTATTCCAAGCTAAAATGCCCTGGAGGAAGAGCCCCAGAGGACAAGCTGATTTTGTACCAGCAGAACCCATTCCAAGGCACCACAGAAATCACTGCCTGGAGACAGTCACTCTCCAGGCACACAGGAAAGGGGCAGAACAGTTGCACACACCTCCCCCTGTCCCCTCCCTGTGTGACACTACAGCCACCAACCTGCTCCTTGCTCCACACAAGAACTCTGAGCACTTGTGGAGCACACCAGGAGGTGCCAGCACCCCAAGAGCTGAGTTTGGAAGTTTGCAGGCAGCCCCATACCTGGTACCAGGCGTTGTAGTTGTAGGCAGCCTGGTTGACCTGCATGTCCCCGTCCATGAGCTGGGCCGACGCCAGCCCCGCCTCCTCCGTCAGCAGCTTCTTCTCGTCCGGCTCCTCGGAGCTGCAGGGGAACACAGCACACTCAGAGCACAGCTGGGAGCCCAAACTCTGCTCAGCTGCTGCCCTGGCCCAGAGGGGTGAGGGAACTGGGGTCAGGGATGGACGGTTTGGGTTGTGCAGAACAGGCTGGGTTTAAAGCTGGTGCCCAAACTGAGACAGCAAAGGCACGTTCCTGCTTAGAGACTGAGTTACTTTACCAGCACTGTTTGGCTCAACTCAACAATCCAAAAATTTATTTTCCAAATTTCCATCCCTGTAAGCGTCCAAGGCCAGCATGGATGGAGCTCTGAACAGCCTATGGAAGGTGTCCTTGTCCATGGCAGGTTTTAGGGCTTTAAAGTCCCTTCCAATGCAAACAATTCTGTGAATATTTAAGGCAGCACAGCTCTATTCAGTACACACTTCAGGACTAAAATCAAGTGATTCTGTTCTCCCATCAGTGGGTTCAAAGCTGACAAACACCTCCACTGCCAGACCAAGGGTGAGGCTGCTCCCTGCCCTGCCCAGGGCAGCCGGGCTCAGTCCGTACCCGTTCTCTGCTCGCCGCTTCAGCGTCTCCTGCTCCTTCAGCAGCGCCTGGTGCTCGTCGTAGGCATCCAGGAGCCTGGGGAGAGCACAGCCAGTCAGGGCCTGTCAGTACCTCAAACACCTGAGCAAAGCCTACAGGGAGCTGCAACAGTACAGCAAACTGCAATGCAACGCATTCTAATGAGGAATGAACAGGGGAAAGCCAACTCGGCTCTGTTCACAACAGCTCCAGTTCCCAACCTGCTCAACTTCCCTCACACTTCATGCAGTTTTTACCAAGCTCCTTCATAAAGAAGCTTTCTAGAAGTGATTTGTGAATCAGCTGCTCCTTCAGAGCCTGCTGGAGATGCCACCCACAGCAGCACAGAGATGTGGGACTCAGCATTTAAACACTGGAAATTATTCCAATCCCAAAGCAGCCTTTGCCCATCAAGCAGGGAAGAACAAGTGTGGTCAATGCAGCACAGGAGACTCCTGCCTAAAATTCTCACAAATATTGAACACCACCCCCCCCACAGGCAGCATCTCACAAAATCTGCAGCTTCTGACAGCGTGCTCTGGGTAAAAAGAGTTCCTCACACTCATTCTGTGCTCTGGGATTATGCAAAAATTCTTTGTGTTGATCTGTCTCAGATCCTAAACTTGCACTGACTGGCTGCCCTGCAGAGGCAGCAGAATTTAAGGACAGCTATTGTTTAAAACACACAAAGCAGAAAAACTGACTTGTCATTAATCCTTCTGGGTTATTTAGCTGCAAAATGTAAATAAAAACAATAGACAATTAAGAGGAAAAAGATATTGTAGCACTGAACTAAAACTTGCATTTCTGGTGTATCCTCCCACAGAAGTGCACAGTCGTTGGCAGTGCTGAACACTGGAAAACCTGAGCAGTGCAGTTTTGGAAACAAGCAGAGCTGCCAGCACCAGTCTCAAAGGACACCTGTGTCACAGACTGTCCCATTCCTGTCACAGACTGTCCCATTCCTGTCACAGACTGTCCCATTCCCCTGGGAATGAGCACCTCCCTCCATAGGGCTTAGCAAGGGTAACCAGCCACAGGAAACCCTGGCAGGCAGCACAGCTCTGCTCAGTCAGGGGATGGGCACTCCAAATAAAAGGGGCAATTGTCTGAAAAGAGAGTCCTGTATAAAAATCTATTCCTGTTTACAAATCTATTCCTGTTTAACACCAGGAGGCTGGTTTAGAAAAGCAGCTGTTCCTTACAAAGAGCTGATAAAGGAAATAATTGTACAGAATCCACTGACCCCACCCTTTTCCCAGCACTCTCCCAGGGACCCCCGTTTGGCCACTGCCCACAGGACATCTTACTTGTTCACATCAGACCCAAAATCTTCCAGGAATTCCACTTTTCTCTGAGAGAAGGTGATCCTCATTTTGATGGACAAGGCCCCATGGATGGCCTTGTCAAAGCAGCTCAGGATGTTCTCCTCGTTCTGCTTGAGGTCACCACT